ACCTGAATCTGGGCTAATCCTATCTCTAATCTTTAACTCAGACCTCATCATATAACTGTGCAAAAATCAGCTTTCTTCCATCTCTTTCCCAGTCAAAAGTCCCCTGCACCACCTGCTCAAAGCTGCCCCTGCTTTTTTGCTAACTACTTCCTACAGTTCTGTGACTCAGTCCGGTTCTCATCTTGGACTCTTCACATCAGACCAATGCCTCTGAAACATCCTCTTTCTGGGCCCTATCCTGTCTCGTAATCATTTAGGGCTCAGTCTACTATGTGTGGGCCTGGCTTACCCCACATGAAATCTCGCTCTGAAAGAGAAGGCAAGTGACTGTCAGAATCCCTTCCGCTGAGACGACCCATCAGAACTTTTACAAAGCAGAGGGCTTTAAAAATTTTTGTTTTTAGGATCCAAATTCAGTAATTACTGAAGACCTACATTTTAAACATAACTATTAAGAAATTTCAGCCCTGGCTGGTGTAGCTCAGTGGATTGAGTGCGGGCCTGCGAACCAGACAATCGCGGTTCTATTCCCAGTCAGGGCACATGCCTGGGTTGCAGGCCAGTTCCCTGCAGGCCAGTTCCCAGCAGGGGACGCACGAAAGGCAACCGTACATTGATGTTTCTCTCCCTCTCTCCTTCCCCTCTAAAGATAAATAAATAAAATCTTAAAAAAAGAAAAAAAGAAATTTCACAATGTAGGAAATGAAATTAGCAGAGGAAAGCTTCATAGTATATTCAACCCTGTCCCACTACTGAGATTCAAACTTGAATTCTCCACTCCTCTCCCCTCTGGGATTATGGAAAAAGTGACAGCTTCAAGTTGTCACCACACAACCAGTCAACCAGCAGAGAGCAAGCCCTGCACCTCTGTGCCTCTTGGATTTCTTTTTTCTGGAGACGGTCCTCTCCTGGATGTTCTCCTCTGGGGTGTCCATCTCATCACTGCTGTCGGTGATGTCGCAGGGCTCACCGGCCCCAGAAAGAGCTTCCACCGCAGGAACCTGAGAGGCTTCCAAGCCACAAAGAGATTTTACTAGAAGAAAATAAGAGAAGAGTGAGAAAGCAGAGTCCCATCCAGAAATACAAAGGGTGTAAGCAGAATATCAGCCATCCATGAGGGGGGGAAATTTTTTTAAAAAGCAGCAGCAGCAGCAAAAAGCAGCATTAGGGTCTTCTGGAGAAAGCTGAGAAAAGCTTTAGTTTTCTCTAACAAGAGAAAAAACTGAGCATTCTAAATACAAAAAAAAAATTTGTAAAGTTCTGGGCAAACCAACTCCTAGAGAGTGCTAACCCTAACCTGAAGAAAAAGGGAACACATTATTCCCCCATTATAAACGCCGCGAAAGGAGGGAGCTGCTGTCATTCGCGTAAATTCTGAGGACCAGCGTCTGAGAGGCATTGAATCCAATTTAACCATGTTTCTGAGTTGGAGATAATTGGTGTCCTAAAAACACAAGTCTCAGGGATACGTGAGGAAGCAGCTTGCAAGTAAGAGAAGCGTGGGAGAAGAAGAATACTTCAAGGCTCTTACACGAAAAGCAAAGGGCAGAGCATGCGTGAACGGCAGGGAAAGACTAAAAGCCAAGGAGGTATCGGACACCAGAGCGCACGCAAAGGTAGATATTTCTGCTGCACAAAATGCTGGCGCTCCAGGCTACCCCGCACCCTCCCCGGAACCCACTGCGCGATCGTGGAGAGGGCAAACGCGTTCACGGACGGTGCCCGAAAAACTGCAGGAAAAACAGGGACAGGGCCCCAGGCTCAGCCTCCGCGACCGTGTCCAGGCTCGTCAGGAGCCTACCTTCCTGCTGAATGGCGTTGGCGACGGCTTTCTTGACCCGCCCAGACCTCACGACGGCAGGGTCCGAGTTGGCGTAGTCCGCCACGGTCACTGAAACGAGCGGCAACCCTCAGAGAAGCGGCCTCCAGCCCGCGCCGCCCCGCCAGCCCCCTGCGCCCCCAGGCCCGACCGCAGCCTCAGCCTCCCAGCGCCCCCGCCGTGCGCCTACCTCGTCCAGAGCAGGCGTCGTGGGCCCGGAACTTCAGTCGCTTCCCTCGCTTGGGCATGGCGCCCGTGTCGGGGCGAGGCCGGCCTAGCGGGCCGGGACCCCGGGCCATGTCTCGGGCACCAGGGCCGGCTCCAGGAGCCGCAGGTCAACTCCGTCCGGCTCCGTGGCCATCCCGCCCCGCAGCCCGCAGCTCTCGCGATGACTCAGGCCGAACCCGCGTCGCGTTGGCAAGACGTTTCGCTTCGGCCGCCAGTCACCGCCAGGCGTAGGGGTACGTCATCATCGAGCGCCCAGCGCCCGCCTGAGACAGGATTGCGCGATGGTAGATGGTGTTGGGGTGTTCTCGCCGGTCGTTCCACCCTGAGGGGTTTGCTGTCTCGGGCCCGGAATCCACGCCCTGTGGATCAGAGCTGAGTGTCCGCAGGGTCCCGTCCTTACAGCCCTGCTCAGCTCCTGTGGCTTCGTTCACAGAGTCCATCTATCTCACTTGGTTTTCCGTAGTAGCTAAATGTGTACGTCATCGAGAGCAGTCCAAGAATGCAGGGAGGGAGGTGAGGATTGGAAAGGCAGAGATGAAGAGGGGGAAGAGTTGGAGGGAAAACCGTGTCTGGGATAAGCGAGAACTGGAAGTTGTCCAAGGAAATTGATAGCGGTAAGTTTGCAGAGATAAGACTTACCTGTTCTCAGATTGCCACACTTGGGAGCTCCGTTGTCATTGACTCAGTGTTTTCCACTGAGCAGGTGTCGAATTTATACTTAGGAAGACACCAATAAAACTTTTTTAAAAGATTTTATTTATTTACTTGTTTTTAGACAGAAGGGAAGGAGGAAGAGGGAGAGAAACATCAATGTATGATTGCCTCTCTGGGTACCCCATTGCGGACCTGGCCTGCAACCCAGGCCTGTGCCCTGACGGGGAATCGAACCAGTGATCCTTTGGTTTGCAGCCCTCGCTCAATCCACTAAGCCACAACAGCCAGGTCACCAATAAAACTTTTTTTATTTGGAGAAAAATATGGCCCAGTCACAGCCCACACTGTGGAATCTAGGTCAGAAACCCAGACAGCTGCCACCAGGACCTCCTCACCACTTCCTGGGGACCCCCGGCAAGGAGGTGGTGCTTGGTGTGAGTCGGGCGTGGTAGGGAGAACAATGGTTGTCAGGGTGGTGTCACCTGAGCAGGGCCAGCTTCCTCTTGCCTCAGGGGATGCATATTCTGGCCTCATCTCAGCCGTACCCCCCCCCCAGTTTTCTTCTTGACTTTGGGGGAAGTCCTGAACACTCAGAATGTGTGGAGTTCAATTCCTGTGTACACAGAGAAGAACAATCTCAGATGGAACTACAGCTCCCTTCACAGTGAGGACTTTCAGTGTCATGTTGAAAACTTTTACATATTTATAAATTTTATAAATGTATTTCATTTCCTTGCTGCCTCCTCAGAAGCCCTGGGGGTGGGGGTGGAATGTCAAATCAGAAAGGGAGATGGTTCTATATCTGACTTGATCCCATTCATAGATCCTGAATAAGTGCCTGTGTTGATTTCTCTGGAGAACACCAATAGGATATATAGGAAACAGACTTATTGTGAGGGATTGGTGCACCAAATTATGGGGGATGAAAAAAACCTCATAGTTTTCTGTCTATAAGCTGGAGGCCCAGGAAAGCTGCTGGCGCGTTGGCCAGTCCAAAACTGAAGACCTGTGAACCAGGGGAGCCAATGTCTGACAGCAGAAGAAAACAGGTGTCACAGCTGAAGCAGGGGGCAGCCAGCAAACCCATCATGGGAATCCCAGGAGGAAAGGAGAGAGGGAAAGAGGCCGAGAGAATGTTTGAAGAAATAGTGGCTGAAATCTTCCCAAATTTGCTGAACATAAACTTCCAAGAAGCTCAATGAACTCCAAGTAAAACAAACTCAGAAAGACCCACACTACAACGCGTTATCATCAAACTTTCAAAAGACAGAATCTTGAAAGCAGGGAGAGAGAGGAGCCATCACATAACAAGGGGTCCTCAGTAAGATCATCAACAGAAAAGAAGTTGAAAACATGTTACCAGACCTGCCCACAAGTATTTATAGTAGCTTCATTCATAATTGCCAAAACTGGAAAGAAACCACGATGTCCATCAGCAGAATAGATAAATGAGCTGTGGTATGTTCATATAATGGAATATTATTCAGCACTAAAAAGAAATAACCTGTCAAGCCACAAGAAGACACGGTGGTGTCTTACGTGCACGTTACTAAGTAAAAGAAGGCAATATGAAAAAGCTATATACTGTGAGGTTCCAACTGTATGACTGTGGAAGACAAAACTATAGAGATGGTAAAAAGATCAGGGGTTAGGGTGGGGGAATGAACAGGCAGAGCTCAGGATATTTAGGGCAGTGAAAATATATAATGACAGATAACATGTCATGTCCAAACTCATGGAACATATGACAACATGTCATGTCCAAACTCATTGAACATATGACATCCAGAGTGAACCCTAGCCCTGACTGGTGAGGTACAGTCGATTAGGTGTTGTCCGGCAAGGCAGAAAGGTGCTGGTTTGATCCCTGGTTGGGGCACATGCCTCCGTTGCAGGTTCAGTCCCTGGTCAGAGTACATACAAGAAGCAACCAATCAGTGTTTCACTGTTTTTTGTTTGTTTGTTTGTTTTGCCTTCTTCCTCCCCGTCCCCTCTTTCTAAAAATACATAAAGTCTTTTTAAAAAACTGTCCAATGAAAACTATTCTCAACAGCTAAGTGGAAGTACAGCTGAGTGTGCACCCTGAGGCTACAGATTGAGCAGCAGCTGCACGAGTTTCCAGCTGGCGCCATGAAAGAGTCCCTGTGGGTGCTTGTTGTCACGGCAGTGGCAGTGCTGTCAGTCTTCTTCTTTGTCACAGAAAACCCCTTCGACCCTTCAAGTTTCCTCTCCGTGGTGAGTGCCAGAGACTAGGGGTGAGCAAAGTTGAACCCCCTGGACAGAAAAAAAGGAGGTGTCAGCTAATTATCTATTTGTGTGAAGTTGTCACGAACAGTCCTGGCTGGGCAGCTCAGTTGGAGCATCTTTCCAGGACACCAAGGTTGTGGATTTGACCCAGGTCAGGGCACATACAAGGAGCAACCAGTCAACGCATCAGTGAATGGAACTACAAATCTCTCTCCCCTCCCCATCCCCACTCCTCCCTCTCCATCTCCCTCTCTCTGTTCCTCTTTCTCCATAAAAAAATCAGTAAGTTAAAAAAATTGTCACTAACATTGTAGACAGTCAAAGAAGAAAGATATTAAAGCCTGAGGACTCAATGTATTTTTCTTCGATGAGGCAATAAGGGATGTAGCACTCTGGAGGAGAGAATCCAAGGCCGTAAAGAAATGACACATTTCCTGTGGTTTTAAAGTTACCCATTTTATCCCCATTTTACACCACAGGAACCTGAACCTCAGCCAAGTTGTCGTTTCTCCGAGCCAAGAAAAATTGTAGGTGGTTGAGAAAACTCCACCAGAACCCAGAAAAGGCAAAGAAAGAGAAGCAGAGTGGTGAATGAATTTGGAGGGTGGAGTGCCACCGCCAGAAAGGGCTGAGAAGCATCCCCTTGCCTCCCCTCTCACGTTTGCCCTTCCAGGGAATAAGTGACTCATCGGACTAGGCAGACCTGACTGGTGGGGTGGGGAACGGCCGGGACTGATGCACCTCATTCCCTACATGTAACCCTAGAGAGCGAGAGAAGCCCCACTCCCTTCACCCCCAACCCATAACCTACATGAGAACCCCCAGGGCAGAACTTTTCAAGAAGGTGAGGAAGGAACTGAATTGCACCCTGAGCAACCTGCCGTGGATCCTGGTGATGTTTTACTATGTGGTACAAAGGGAGCCCACCCAGCCCTTATTCCCAAGGAGCATGATTCAGAGCTGAAACCTACTCTTTTCTCAGGAGGAAAAGAGGCTGGTAGCTTGGCAGAGAGCCCGGATGCAGCTCAACTCTGGTAGAGCACACCACCTGGAAACCTTCAAAGACATGCAGAGAAACTCAGAACCACTAAAACAAGTGAACTCCCAAATCTTGATTGGAGCCCCTCCCGGCGAAAAAAGTGAGTGTGCACAAAGGTCTAGCTCTCCAAGGGGCAGGTCAGGCAGGTAAGGGGCAGGGACCGTGACAGCATCTGACACACACACTTGCCAACGCTCCCCAGTGGCTTCCAGGGTCCCAAACTCTTTTGGTTTTCCTCCCACCTCACAGGTAGATCCCCAGGTCTTTTGCTAGTTTTATCTTCTCTCTCCAACACCTAAGTGCCGATGCACCCCAGAGCTCCGTCCTTGTCCGGACTGCCTGGTGACTTCACCCAGTGTCAGAGCCATCTGTCCACTGGTTAGTCTCAGAACCACACTGCAGCTCTGTCTGTCTGTAGTCCTCACCACCCTGCTGCAGCATCCTCTTCCGGGTGGGGACCGTGCTGGCCTCTGTTGCCGAGATCCGTGCCTAGACAACACGTGGCCTTTAATCTGCGGCTCCGTCAGGACACTGGTTCTCCCCGCTCAGCAAGCTTCCCACTGACACTGCACACCCTCCGAGGTCCGACTCCGACACACATTTGACCCCCATAAGTTGGGATGGTATTTGGTAAGAAAAAATAAACCATAAAACAGAATAAACTTTTCTGGTTGAAATAGTTTAAGACTTGAAAGGACAGGAGTAAACTATTGTGTCAACAGAATATAGTTAAGTTGAAGGGTGCTTAAGTGTGTTGGCCTTAACAAGACAAGAACTCTGTCCTGGACAGGCAGCTGAGGTGGCTGGAGTGTCATCCCGAGACGCCAAGACTGGGGGTTCGATCCCTGGTCAGGGCACATATAGGAATCAACCAACAATGCATAAATAAGTGGAAAAACACATCGATGTCTCTCTTTCTCAAATCAATAAAAAACAACAATAATATAAGGACCCTGAATAAGGAAAAACTAGTTTTTCTTTAAGTTCAAAGGCATCTTTTCAAATGAGCACTAACCCCACCTTGCATAACCCTCATGGCTAAAATGCTGCACTGTGCAAAGTTAGCTAAATGCGTTTTTAATTCAGGGCATTGCGAAGTATCTGTATAAACTCAGGATGTGTATAAACTCAGGATGTGTTTTCTCTCAAAAAACGTTTTAGGTCTGTCTGCTGGCCTAGAAATGACCCACCAGCAATGAGTGCTTGTTAAATACTGTTTTCCATTAAAAGGAACCAGGTTCCTTGGAAAAAAAGGCGGACTCAGGGTCCAAGACAGGAAATGTCACAGTAGAGTGAGGAAGCTTTTGAGAATAACTAGTCACTTCAAAAACGCTGAGGATCTAACTTCAAAAGGCTATTTGCCAAATACAGAACAATTTGAGCATCAACAGGATAAACTCTCAGTGGTCTGAAACTTGAAATCCATGAGCTTACACAAATACCTCTGTGCGTCCCAACGCCACCTTCAGGGGGCCAGCGGTGGGCTTTATCCTGGAGGCAGATGCCACATCTGATGTGCCCCCACCTTCCCCGCTGCTGCTCAAGCTCCTGCCTCCATCCTGGGGTTCCCTGCAGCCCCAGGACTCAGCCCATGGGCTCTGCCAGGCAGACCTTCCACTTCACTTTGACAACAACCCTAAGCATGTCCACCTGCAGTGGGTGTGGCCACAGCCAGCCCTGTGGTGGTCATTGGTCCAGTGGTTCTGGAAGCGGTCCTTTGACGCACTGTCCAGATGACCACCCCAGGGCTCGTTCCTTTCTTTTGGTGGTGCACACTTAGAATTCCTCTGAGGCTTTTGGTAAGAAGATGCACCTGTGCATTTGTGTTCTGTGTCTGCTGAACTAGGAATTCTTCTACTTAGACTTCTCCCGTGCACTTTCACGGTCTTCCAGGAATTCTGCAAATATTTTGGTTCTCTAATGGCATCCCTTCGGGTTTTTCAGTGGGATTTTAGGAGGGAAGAGACATAAATGCAAGTGTTTTTAGCTTATCATCTTTATTTATTTCTCCCACAATAGTTGCTGAAAGGTAGCAATTTTTTAAAAAACACCTTGTGACCAGGTACTAAACTCCTAACATAGTCCATACTTAGGCCTGGGGGAGAGAAGATGTACAGTAACCATAGGAACTCATTAAGTTGGCAGACGGAAAGATCTGAGAGTATCACAGCCTCACCCACAGCAACTGTTCTTCTCACTTCTGTAAGTGGACAAACACCCTCTTGTCTCCCACCCCCAGAACTGCTGACCATAGGCATCTCTGCAGTGCCCCCTCTCCAGGGGAGCAACCTCGTGAGCACCCTGCAGTCCCTCTTCTCCGCCTCCTCCTCGTTGGAGAGGAAACACTTCACCGTTTTGCTCCATGTTGCAGGCCCCGACCCCAAGGGCTCTGGGTGGCTTGCTCAGATGACCGACAACCTCTCGGCCCTGTTTAAACCTCACGTCCAGGCCAGAGAGCTTGTAGTGATCACCACTCCACCTACAAGCAGCCTGCCCTTGAAGGACCTGAAGAAGACCGTTGGCGATCCTCCTGCCCACATAGCCTTCCACTCCAGGCAGAACAGGGACTACGCCTTCCTCATGAACTTTGCCACCCAGCGCTCTGACTATTTCCTGATGGTCGAAGATGGCGTGAACTGTGCCCCCGGATTTGTGACCCAGATAGCCACCGCAGTGTCTGCCTGGGCACACCGGCCCTGGGTGACTCTGGAGTTCTCCCAGCTGGGCCTCACTGGGAAGCTCTTCCACGCTGGAGACCTGCCCCGCATCGCCCACTTCCTTCTCCTCTTCCACCAGGAAATGCCCTGTGCCCAGCTCCTCTCCCATTTTCAGGGCCTCGTGCAGAGCACGCCAGTGCAGTTCCTGCCCTCCCTCTTCCAGCGCTCGGGCAGCCCCTCCTACTTTGAGGAGGACAACGTCGGCTCTCCCAGCAACCCAGCTGCCTCCATCCACACCAGCCTGGAGGCTGCCAACAACTCTGTTCCCTCAAGCGCCTACAGCCTGGATGAGAACGTCTTTTACGCCAAGTCGGTGGAGGCTGGCAGCCACCTGACTGTGGTTCTGGACACACCTGCCCAAGTGTTCCGAGTTCAAGTGCAGACTGGCTCCAACCTGAGAGATGAGAATCGGCTGAAAGAGGGATATGTGGAACTGGGCTATGACTCCAGCAACAGGGTCAGCGACTGCGATGACTACGTCCTGCTGGGGCCCCTGGTGGCCGGCAGCCTGGACAAGCGGGTGCTGTCACACAGGGCTGGGAGGAAGGTGAAGTGTGTGCGTGTGCTTGTGACAGACCGCATGCCCTCCGCAGTGGTGCTCAGGCACATTCGCCTGTGGGCCGAGTGAAGTTTGTGTCTCAGGTGGAGGGGCCACCGGGAGCTCTGGGACAGGCCAGGTTGGAGGTTAGTCTGCAGAGCTTAAAATCCAAAACATTACTATGTTGAAATCCGTGGGGTGCCTTTCACTGTTGGGCCCTTTCGGGACTGCTGGTCTAGAAGACACAGCATGTTGAAAGGAGGTGACATGCTCTTGGTCCCAGAGGCACGGGGGGGGCTCATTAAACCCCTCCTGGGTCCCTCTGCTGAAAGCCCCCCATTCAGAATTCTCGCTTGGGGCAGGAACAGTGGGTGGGACTGACTGGCGCTCATGTCCTGAGGCTCTAGATGGACACGAGAGAAGATGGGGAGGCCTGTTTCTCCACCAGCACCAAGCGGACGCACTGGAGGCTGAACGTCCAGTGTGGCAGCAGGGAAACAGGCCTGTGTCCCCCGGAGTGGCCTCTGCACCCAAGACAGTCGTTTCATGACACTGCCTCCTTCACATCGGGCAGAGTCCTCTTGTCCGTGACCACCCGGCATGTCAGGTGCTCCTTTCTAAATAGCCTCAGAATCACTGAAAATCATTCACTGTTTCTGGTGGCTCCTGTGTCCAACACAGTCTTATCTCAGGGACTATGCTCCTGACGGGGAAAACTTTGGATGCTTTACTTTTTCAGCTCAGTTTGGCTATGAAGATTGTGAGAGTCCCAGAAGACATTTGAGCCCTGATGTGCAGCTAACGTGCAGCATCTGGGTGTTGCTAGCTGGAGAAGTGCGACCCTCCCTGGCAGGGAGGGAAGCAAGCAAAGGAGAGCTTTAAGATGGACGTCAGGGAAGAGCTCCAATCGGAAGCCGGGCACTGTGTCCACATGAGCTGTCATCAGAGTGGACACATGGGCTGGAGTGTCTGGAAACAGGGCAGCGAGAGAGAGATGAGGGGCAGTGGGGATACACAGTAGGGTGGCAGGGAGCAGCTCTGGGAGCACCAGGCAGTAGGCCATCCGGTAAGTCACAAGCCCTGGCCCCATCCCTGAACCTAAGCCAATTTTCACGTCCACATGTGCTGATGGAGGAGGTGGGCAGGTCCCTGGAAGGAGACCCTGAGACACATGGGCCTTGTGAGACCCCCCCAGACATACTCCCGAAAGGCACCTGCAGCTGCACAACAGGGAGAGGGAGACCCCCGGACATGTGGGGAACCCGGAATCCATTTAGGAATGTAGGTTTGGGTCACACCATCAGGGAAGCCACCAAGCTCTCTGAGGTGATGGCTGAGGTTTGCAAGGGTGGGCCTATTCCAAGGGCACCAGGACTGTCCCCGCTGGCCTGTCTGAAGCTTTCTTGAGGCTGTGCCGATGTGCACGGTGCCCTCTGCACAGCCCCGCCCTCCTGATTCCCATGGGTCAAACCTGCAGGTCGACCTCAAAGGCTATGTGGCACCACCACCCCCTCCAATAATTCCCTGCACCCGGGCCTCATCTTGGTGTGGGACCCAGAGTGGACTCAGCCAGGCCACGCTGCTCCATTTTCTACAAACCAGGAGAAGGCACACCCTCCTATGGTGGGTGGCTCCCAAGGTGAGCCTGCACCAGGGCTTCCAGTGGTGGATTTAGTTCCCACCAGTCCCCTGGGCGAGACGCAGCTGCACACGCACAGAGGTGCGGCTCACAGGTGGGCTGGGTTTCCTTTTTGATTTTTTAAGTTGATTTTAGAGAGAGGAAGGGAGAGAAACGGCGACCTGTTGTTCCACTATTGATTCATTTGTTGGTTGCCTCTTTTAAAAAACAAATTTTATTTTTAGAGAGGGGGAAGGGAAGGAGAAAGAGTGGGAAGGAAATATCAATGTGCGGTTGCCTCTCACGTGTCCCCTACTGGGGACCTGGCCTGCAACCTAGGCATGTGCCCTGACTGGGAATCAAACCACAACCCTTTGCTTCACAGGCCCGTGCTCAATCCACTGAGCTACACCAGCAAGGACTGTTGGTAGCCTCTTGTACCAGGTATCAAACCCACAACCTTGGTGTATCAGGACTATATTCTAACCAACTCAGCCACCCAAACAAGGCTGGGGTAGAGTCCAGATAAAAAACTGGGCCACTCCACCAACTCTATTTTAAACAAAATAAGCAGATCCCGGTGGTTTAGAGAGAGGGTTAGGCTTCATTTCACCAGAGGTGACCCCCTGCTCTTCCTGCCTGATGCAGCTGGTACCCCGCCCTGCTGCAGGTGTGCCAAAGGGCACAGGTGAAGCATGAGCCAAAGTGCAGGCTCAGGTCCACGTGGGGCACAGTGCAGCTCCCCAAAAATGAGAATTGTAGATTTACAGGAAAAGACAGGCGCTCATTGTCAAGGATGCCTGGCCGCAGGGCCACACCAGCAGGAGGGTGGTGAGCTTAGCGTAGCTGAGATGGCCACTCCTTTCAGGCCAGCGGGGACAATGCTTCCAAGGACGTGATGGCAGACCGTCAGAAGCCAGACCTGCTCAGATTCAAGGGCTCATCTGGAAGGGAAGCCAGAGAGTCAAGACTGGGATGAGGTGGGAAAAGGGTGACTCTGGTTTAAAAGATTGTAATCATACAAAACGCTCTCTAACCACAAATGAATAAAAGTAAAATAATTTTGTATCTAGAAAACCCACAAACGTTTGGAAATTAAGCAGCATTTTTTTACGCACTGTATTTATTTTTTCTATATTTTATTGATTATGCATTACAGTTGTCCCATTTCCCCTTCATTCCCCTCCACCCTGCACACCCCTCCCCCACCATCCCCCCTTTAGTTTATGTCCACGTGTCTCAAGTTTAGATTCTATATTTTCCATACTATTCTTGCCCTCCCCGTCTATTTTCTACCTACCGTCTATGCTACTTATTCTCTGTACCTTCTCCCCCCTTCTCCTCCTCCTACTCCCGTTGCTAACCCTCCATGTGATCTCCATTTCTATGGTTCCACTCCTGATCTAGCTGTCCTCTTAGTTTGCTTTTGTTTTAGGTGTGGTTGTTAATAACTGTGAGTTTGCTCATAGTTTATATTTTTTATCTTTTTCTTAGACAAGTCCCTTTAACATTTCATATAATAAAAGTTTGGTGACGATGAACTCCTTGAATTTGACCTTATCTGAGGAGCACTTTATCTGCCCTTCCATTCTAAATGAAAGCTTTGCTGGATAGAGCAATCTTAGATGTAGGTCTTTGGATTTCATGACTTGGAATACTTCTTTCCAGCCCCTTCTTGCCTGTAAGGTCTCTTTTGAGAAATCCGCTGACAGTCTGATGGGTCCTTTGTAGGTGACTGTCCCCTTATCTCTTGCTGCTTCTAGGATTCTCTCCTTCATTTTAATCTTGGCTAATGTAATTATGGTGTGCCTTGGTGTGTTCCTTCTTGGGTCCAACTTCTTTGGGACTCTGAGCTTCCTGGATTTCCTGGAAGTCTATTGCCTTTGCCAGATTGGGGAAATTCTCCTTTATTATTTGTTCAAATCAGTTTTCCACTAGTGGCTGTTCCTCTTCCCCTTCTGGTACCCCTATAATTCGGGTGTTGGAACATTTAAAGATGTCCTGGAGGTTCCTAAGCCTCTCCTCATTTTTTTGAATTCTTGTTTGTTCATCCTTTTCTGTTTGGTCATTTTTTTTCTTTCTTCTGGTCTGCTCCCTTGATCTGAGCCCCAGTTTCCTTCCCATCACTATTGGTTTCCTGTGCATTTCCCTTCATTTCAATTAGTTTAGTATTCATATGTTCCTCTAATTTGTGACTAAAATCAACCAGTTCTGTGACCATCCTGATCACCAGTGTTTTGAACTGTGCATCTGATAGGTTGGCTATCTCTTGGTTGCTTACAAGTATTGGCTCTGGGGCTTTGAGCTGTTCTTCTTCTTGAGCCATAATGTTTTGGTCTGTTCGTGCCTGTTACGTATGAGGGGCGGAGCCTTAGGTGTTCACCAGGACGGGGTGAAGCAGTGGCTGGGTTGTGACGCTGTATGTAGGGGTGGGGTAAGAGAGGGGCAATGGCGTTTGTTCTGCGCTCTCTTGGATTTCAGTCCCCTCCACTGCTTCCCAAAAGCAAATTGGGCCCTTCTGGTGCTGGTTCCCGGGTGTGTGGGCTTGTGCACCCTCCAGGACCCTGTGGGTCTCTCCAACAAACTCTCTGTGAGCCTGCGAGCCTCTCTCGGCACCTCGACCCCCAAAAGTTTTTCCAATTGGTGCTTTTAGGCTTTAATTCCCGTTGCTGGGGCCCTGGCCTGTGAGGTCTGTCTCACTGCTCGCTCCTTCCCCTGGTTTATCTGTGCAAATGTGTGACCGCGGTCAGCCAGCCCCCTTGAGCCCTCACTGGGTCTGCCCATTGCCACCCCACGCCTGGGATCTGCCAACTGCTGCCTGTGCGCCTGGGTAGGTCTGGCCACTTTTTCCTGCGTGACCCTGCTCTGACAGCCGCTGACTCCGCCCCTCTTACCAGTCTGGCTGAATGGTTCATTGTTGTCAGACTTCCGTACAGTTCAATTTTCTGTTTTGGTTGAGTTTTTGTTACTAAAACTTTGTTGTCTTTAAACTTGGTTGTGCAAGGAGGCACAATGTTTCCACATACGCCTCCATCTTGACCAAAAGTCCAGCAGCATTTCTTATACCTCATAGGTCAAAGAAGAAATCACAGTAGAAATTAAAAATTCTTGGGACTTCCGCCAAGATGGAGAAGTAGGTGGAGGTTCCACCTCACCTCTGTGCACAACCAAATCTAAGAACAACTATTTTTAACAGCAGTCACAACCAAGCCACACGGAAAATCGACAATACGGAGTCCAAAGGACAACTAGATACTCGGCTGGACCGGTACGAGGAGCGAGGCCAGCAGCGGAGCAGGTTAGCAAGAAAAAATTCCCGGGGCGGTGCGTGGAGCGCGCAGGCAACCGAGGGCGCTGATCGCCAGTGAGCTGGCTGCGGGAGTGCACAGAGAAGAGGCACAGGGAAGAGGCGCGGTGGGTCGGTCGGTCGCGCGCATTTACTGCGGAGAAACCAGTGAGAAGGGAAACCCACGCGGTGCAGCAGGCTCGCAAAATTAGGATCGGATAAGCAAGCCCGAGGCGTTTGAGTGACTAAATGCGCTGGGCTAGCGGAGAGGAACGCCATTGCTCCCTCTCTGACCCCGCCCACACACACAGCGTCACAAACCAGCGACCTGGGTCGCCCCGTCCTGGTAAACAACTAAGGCTTCCCTCCGCTCACTTAACAGCACGAATAGACCAAAAATGGCTCTAGGACAACTCAGAGCCCCAGAACCGATAGACCTAAGTGATGAAGAAATAGCCAGTCTTTCAGATGCACAGTTCAAAACACTGGTTATAAAGATCCTTATAGAACTGGTGGATTTTAGTCACAAATTAGAGAAACATATGGAAGCTAAATTAATTGAAATGAATGCTGATACAAAAGATACCAATAGTAATGGAAAGAAAATTGGGATTCAAGTCAAGGGAGAGGACCAGATGGAAGAAAAAAATAATCAAACAGAAAGGAATGAAGAAATAAGAATTCAGAAAAATGAGGAGAAGCTTAGGAACCTCCAGGACATCTTTAAACGTTCCAACATCCGAATTATAGGGGTACCAGAAGGGGGAAAGGCACAACCACCAGTTGAAAAATTATTTGAACAAATAATAAAGGAGAATTTCCCCAAGATGGCAAAGGAAATAGAAATCCAGGAAGCTCAGAGAGTCCCAAAGAAGTTGGACCCAAGAAGGAACACACCAAGGCACATCATAATTACATTAGCCAAGATTAAAATGAAGGAGAGAATCCTAGAAGCAGCAAGAGCTAAGGGGACAGTCACCTACAAAGGGGTTCCCATCAGACTGTCAGCTGATTTCTCAAAAGAGAACTTACAGGCAAGAAGGGGCTGGGCAGAGGTATTCCAAGTCATGAAATCCAAAGATCTACAACCAAGATTGCTCTACCCAGCAAAACTTTCATTTAGAATGGAAGGACAGATAAAGTGCTTCTCAGATAAGACCAAATTCAAGGAGTTCATCATCACCAAGCCCTTATTATATGAAATGTTAAAGGGACTTACCTAAGAAAAAGAAGATAAAAAAGATGAACAGTGAAAGGACAGCAAACTCACAGTTATTAAGAACCACACCTAAAACAAAAGCAAACTAAGAGGATAGCTAGATCAGGAGCAGAACCATAGAAATGAAGATCTCATGGAGGGTTAGCAACAGGGGAGTGGGAGGAGGGGAAGGGGGGAGAAGGTACAGAAAATAAGTAACATAGACAGTAGATAGAAAATAGATAGGGGGGAGGGTAAGAATAGTAGGGGAAATACAGAATCTAAAGAATTTGAGACACATGTTCATGAACTAAAGGGGGAAATGGTGGGGGAGGGGTATGCAGGGTGGAGGGGAAAGGAGGGGGGAATAGAGCAAATGTAATGGCATAATCAACAACAACAACAAAAAAGAAATTAAAAATTCTTGTGAACTGAATAATGATACTTATTTACCCTATAATTGGATATCCTATAAATGTGGATGGTTCCCTTCTAATAAGGGAAGGGATCACTCAGTATCGACCCTTAGCAACTTGATTTAAACCAACAGTTAACTGTCGGCTTCTGGGTTGGAGGTCAGACTGGAAAGCTGGCGTTCACGCCTATTCCCACTGCACCCAGAGACAGGTGCTTGTGTGAGACAGGTGCTGGGCAGCCCCATTCGGGGTGAACAATGGTTGTCAGGCAGGGTCTCCCAGGAGATGACTCCACCTCAGATGAGCCCCTCTGGGCCCCGCCCTACAACCTTAAAGTTCTTCTCATCGATTTCAGAGAAATCCTGCTCTCTGATGACTTATGAAGCCACTTTTTCTGTCAAACAAAAAGTCTCCAGTGGCTGCAGATCCACAGACAGGGTAAAGACTGCCACAGCATAGAAATTCCTGGTCACCTCTAGGTGTCCGCCACTGCTACCAGGCCAGGGTGGGGGAGAAACAAGCCTTTCCCTTGGTCCCTCTGCCTGGATTCTAACCTCTCTCTCACCTGTCCGACATAATGCTGGGGGGCGGGGAGATCAGACAAAAAGCCCATGAGGAGCTGGCAGGCCAGTGGAGGCTGTACCTCGAGTTTGAGTTTAGGGAAGGGTTCCTCTCCAGTGGGGCATCTACTCCAAGAACGGACAAGTAAGAAGCTGCTCCAGTTTCCCCTGGAAACCCTGCCAGGAGGTGAAGGCAGAAGCTGAAGAGAACCAAGCTCCACAGCCTTGTCTCTCCTTAGATGGTTACAAGTGGGGAGGGAGGGGGAGGCGCGCCACGGGTGGGAGAGGCTAAGAAAGGGCAGTGCCAGAGGTGTCCAGGAGAAAGGGTAGGGAGGGGAGGGGAGGCCTCTGGGCCACAGGACAAGCTTCCTGGCTTCCCGAGCTGGAGGCTCTCAGGGTCCAGGTCCCGCTCCCTTCCTGCCGCACAGCCGAGCCTGGCACCATGCACCGCTGCCTATGGAAATGCACCTTTGTGGCTGTGTCCTTCCTCTCCCTGAGCTTCTTCCTCCAGGACAATGAGGAAGAGCCCCTGGAGCATGGCCTGTCGCTGGTGAGTGCCATGTATCGAGGCTGAGCCACCCGCCAACACTTCAGCTGGGAGGAAAGTTCTAGTGTCACCACAGCAGTGCTAAGAGAAGGGCCCTTGAAGATTCAGGAAAGTGTCCGAAAAACATAGATACTGCCCTGACTACTGGGACTCCATTGGTTGGAGCATCATCCCATAACTGAAAAGTTGCAAGTTCGATTCCCACTCAGGGCAATTTTGCTCCCTGGTCCAGGCATGTAAGGGAGGCAACCAACCGATGCTTCTCTTTGCATCGCTGTTTCTGTCTCTCCCTTCCTCTGTCTCCAGATGGAATGAAAACATACCCTCAAGTAAAGATTTAAAAAATCTTTTTAAAGAGGGTTTTTTTTTTGGTTTGTTTTAAGATTTTACTTATTTATCTTTAGAGGGGAAGGGAAGGAGAGAAGGAGAGAAATATCAATGTGTGGTTGCTTTTCATGCGTCCCCTGCTGGGAACTGGGCTGTAACCCAGGCATGGGCCCTGACTGGGAATCAAACCATGATTGTTTGGTTTGCAGGCCTGCGCTCAATCCACTGAGCTACATCAGCCAGGGCTACAAAAATCTTTTTAAAGATAAATATTAAATCCGCCTTCACTATGGATAGAATTTGAGTGTGGAAGGGAGAAAGCCTTGCACAGACCTCAACCGCCATGCTGCAGGCAGGCCCAGTGTGAGAGAAGGCTACCCAGGGGCAACCTCCCCCCTCACCACCAGGGAGGCAGTGCTTCTCCCCTTCTCCCGTTGGGGGCAGTGGGGACTGGGGTGGGGGGCACTCCTTGCACCACACGTACAAGTCCGCAGTGGAGAAGGTCAGGTTCAGGTTCTGGGGTCCACGTCCTCCCTACATGGTCCAGCCAGCGAGAGCAGAGCCTGAGGGGTGTGAGGAAGGATATGGCCAGAACTGAGCAGAGGAAAGGGCTTCAGAATCAAGGCACCAGGTGTGACTTCCTTAACGACAAGGCACACATGGTCTTCGGCATCTGCTACAGGCCTGGCACAGTCTGAACAGAGATATGCTGCCAGCTTGTGGTGGTGGAGAAGTTAGATGTGCGGCAAGGTTGGGGAGGTGGGTTCTTCCCCTGCAGAAGCCTGGGGAGTTCCAGAGGCACCCCACAAGGAACCACTTCCCCGACCCCAGGGCCTACTGCCCCGCCTAGAGCACATGTGTTCTCGTGGTGAGGTGGGAACAGCGCTTCACGGATCCTGACACTTGGGCTCCCTAGTGATTGGACCTGGGGACTGCCCAGCCTGTCCTAAAAGAGGATTTGTCCTCAGTTGTCTCCAGAGGAGCAGGGTGAAGCTCAGGGCCGATGCTTATCCATCCTCAGCAGGAGAAAAAGAAGATATTACAGCATCTAGAGCAGGAACAAACCGACTCTGAAAACAAGAACCACATGGAGGCCTTCAGGGAGATGCAGAAAAGGCCCCCTGTCCTCCAGCATGCCACCTACAGAGTCCTGGCTGGGGCCCCGCCCCAGCAGAAGAGTGAGTGCGTGTGGGAAGGGAGGCCAGATTGGGGGGGGGAGTGACACAGGCAATCCATCATGAAGCTGGGGTATGGGAGGGGAAGGGAATGAGCTGGTATCTTGGGGAAATCGGGGCTCTGGGGACAGCCGTGCTTGGGCACTGGGTGCAGGCTCCACTCCCACCTGCCACCCGGAGTGCCTCACACGGTGGAGAGTCCACAATGGCCGCTAGGGATCTCCCCCCAGAACAGCCTATTCATGACTGGCCCCCTAGGGAGGGAGCTGAGCTCGGCAGGTGCCAACTAACTGGGCCCTAGACTGCGGCCCTTGGGCTCCTCGGTCCCTGCAGACCCTCCCACCCAGATCTGAGGTCAAGGCCAGGTTAATCTGCCACACCAGCAAATTTACGTTTGGTACTTGGCAGCCTCCCCATTAGAAAGAGCCTTGTCCTTCATAAAGATGCCCCCAACATCCCTGCAAGTGCTGGTTAAGCAAAACTGTGTCACATCCTCTGACCAGACATCAACCTCTTATCGACCACACTCTCCAAGGGAAAGGAAATGGGAATCTGTCCCAGATGTTGGCACGAAGGGGAGAGTGGAGAAGGGTCTCATCACCACCTTTAAGTGCTAACGGCGCCCTCTGTCCCCTCACCCCTAGAACTGCTGACAGTGGGGATCTCCTCAGGGCAGCGTCCTCACAGGAGTGCCCTCTTGGACACGCTGCAGTCCCTGTTCCAAGGCTCCTCAGGGCCAGAGCTGCACTGTATCGTGGTGCTGGTCCACCTGTCAGGCCCTGACCCTCAGTGGCTCAGACAAATGGCCGCCAGTATTTCCAGCCTCTTCCAACCTCACATTGAGGCCCAGGAGCTGCTCGTGATCCACGGCCGTCTCGGTGGCCACCCTGCCCCAGGAGACCCAGGTGATGCTGGTGACTCCTCGCCCTGTGCCACTGTGTACTCCAGGCAGAAGGTCGATTACACCCTCCTCATGAACTTTGCTCTCAACCTCTCTGAATATTTTCTGATGATGGAAGACCGTGTTCGGTGCACCCCCAAGTTTGTCTCTGCCATCTACTGGGCACTGTCAGCCTGGAAAGAACAACCCTGGGTGACCCTAGAGTTCTCCAGCCTGACCTTCTCCGGGAAAGTCTTCCACACCAGCGACCTTGCCCGCCTGACTGCATTCCTACTCTTATTCACCAAAGACGTGCCCACTCACCTGCTTCTTTCCGAATTCCGCCTTCTCTTGGCCCAGCATGTTCCGATTCGCTTCAGTTCCTCAGTCTTGCACCCTGTACGCAGTTATTCCGCGCCTGCGGACACCTGCTTTCCTGTGGAGAAGGAACCGGCCTTCGGTGAGCCAGACAACCCCGCAGCCAGTGTCCTCACTGACATGAGGACAATATCAAACACGATTCCCGAGTACGCTTATGTTCTGAACAAGGAGAGCTACTACACCCTCGATCCCCTAAGAGGCAACTACCTGACAGTGGTTTTGGAAAAGCCACAGAAAGTCATCCGGGTGGAGGTGCTGACAGGCTCTGACAAACAAGGGCTGTACCGGCTGCAGCAGGGCCAAGTGGAGCTGGGCTACAGCCTCCTGCCGCACTCCGAAGGCTGTGCTCGCTACGCCCTGCTCGGACTGCTGGTGGAGGGACACTTGGACCAGAGGGTCTTCTATGAAGAAGACTCTGTGGAGCAGCCAAGCTGCATACAGCTGCTGGTGCTGGCCTCTCAGGACTCCTGGCTGCTCATCAGGCAGATCAGGGTCTGGACACAGCCCGAGGAGGAGGAGAGCTAGAGGCACACGGGGAGTTCTGCAAGGACTGGTCCTGGGCAGGCAATCTTCACAACCGGCAAGAAATAAAGCTAGAAACTGGCCAAGGCCTGCGCACTCTGAGTAGGGTGACCATGTAAGTTACTGTCCAGCCTGGGGTACTTCGGAGACTGGAAGGAAGAACTGTTAAAAATGACACTATAACCACAGATGTAAGCCAGACTTCCCAGGCAAGCAGAGATGTATGCTCCGCCTGATTCTGATTTTTGCAGGCCACTTGAGATAGATAACAGTCTGATGAGGGGAAGAGACAAGACAATATCCCTTTGGCTTCCAAGGGTCAGAGAGAGGGAAGGAGTCACCATGAACTACCTTGGTTCCAATCTGCACACGAGTGTCACACTCTCAGATCTTTCCATGAAAAAGCTATGGCCCTACCTAGAGTAGCAACAGTCTTGATAGTACCGTGATCACAGAGGCCCGACAGTGGCTCACATCCACACGCCTCTTAGTCTGTTCAGGGTGCTGCAATAGAATTCCACAGACTGGTCGCTTAAGAACAACAGAAGTATATTTCTCATGGGTTTGGAAGCTGGGGTGTCTAAAACCAAGGTGCTAGCTGATTGGGTGATGGTAGAGGTCCACTTCCTGATCCATGGACGGCTGTCTTTTTGCTATGTCCTCACCTGGCACAAGTGGGTGAAGGAGCACTTATGGTATTTGATAAGGGCACTGATCCTATTCGTGAGGGCTCTACCCTCAAGGCCACTTCCCAAAGGCTGCACCTCCTACCACCCTGGGGATTAGGATTTCAACATGAATTTGCGGAGATGGCACTTGCAGACCACAGAAAGGCCCAATCCTGCAACGTGCCGAGGCTGAGACCCTGCTGGAACAGTTTGCCCAGCCATGCTCATCACGTGTATACTGCCTAGGACTGCTTTCGAGCTACGAGGACAAAGCTGAGTAGCTGCGACCTAAGTTGTACAGCTCACAAAGTCTAAAACTTTTACTGACGCTTGCGCTGGCCCCAAACCCCCTCAGGCCCGGGTCTTGCCAGGCCCCGCACTTCCGGCTTCCGCCCCTTTCGACCTCCCGCTGCTCTAGACCCTCTCCTCTAGCCTCCCCGCCTCTTCCGGCACCAAACATTCCAGACCCCGGTGTTTCTAGGCCCCACACGCAGCTATTTCTGGCACGGCGGCTCTAGATCAGGTGCCGCCCCTGACAGCCTCGTCCCCTTCGCCCCAAGCCCCTTCTGGACCTGCTGTTGCCAGGCCCTACATTTCCGGCTCCCTGCTCACATTACTTCCGCCTTCTCGGCCTACCTACCTCCGCCGGGCCCATGTTTTTCCCGCACCCCCTCCTCCTGAGGCCAACCATTCTGGGGTCCGCCCCCTTCCGAGAAGCCCCGCCTTTTTGGCCTTACGCCACTTCCGTCTCTGCTTGTGCCAGCCCACACCTATTCCGGTGGACACTGATTGGACCCCACTTCTCCAAGACCTGCCTCCGCCCCTCCCCGGCTTTTTCTAGGCCCCGCCTCCTGCCCGCCCCGCGACGAATTGTGGGAGCAGTTCACCCCGCGGGCGTGGCTACGGAGGAGGACTGAGGGTTCGGTCATGGGCTTCCAGCCGGTGAGACCCACGCTCCATGCCCTACCCCGGGGGATGCGGCTCCATCCGGTTCTGGCCGCTCAGTTGTGTACCAGGTGGTCTCACCGCCGTCCCCGCTCTGGGTGCTGGGGTCCCGGGACCCTGCCCAGGGGACCCCTCCGGCCTGAGCCTGCCCCCGCGCTGCAGCTCGGGGTCGCCTACCTCTGGGCGAGTGGGCGCTTCCCCCGCGGGACGGTCACACTGCCTCCTCTCCCCACAGAGCCCGGGCCTGCTGGCCTCCCTGGGGGCGGGGCTGCTGACTCTTCTCGGCCTGGCTCTGGGCTCCTACTTGGTTCGGAGGTCCCGCCGGCCACGGGTCACTCTCCTGGACCCCGATGAGAAGTACCTGCTGCGTCTGATAGACAAGACGGTGAGTTGTGGAGGAAGAGGTAGGGCGGCGGAGGGACCAGAACTCCCCTCCTCCTGGGAAGCGACAGCCTCCTCTGCGGTTGGGGCGTTCTGGTAAAACTGTCGTCTGTCCTGCAGACTGTGAGCCACAACACCAAGAGGTTCCGCTTTGCACTGCCCACTCCCCAGCACATTCTGGGGCTGCCTGTGGGTAAGGAAAATGTGGGCTCCTTTCTCTCGTATCTTGAGCGATTCCCTTCCCAGAGTCTCCCAAAACAGAAACAGGCCGCTTTAGTCTGTTCCATCCACAGCCCTTTCCCTTCCCCACCTGGCTGGATCCTCCAGGCTGGGAGGTGCCATTGGGCCATTGTAGGGTGTGGCTTGTGTGCCTCCCCCACCGGCTGCCCCAGGCGTCTTTAACATTCAGCAGTTCTGCCTCCCTCCTGCAGGACTTGTTTGCACGCCCCCCACCCTGCCCCGACTCACCTGCGGTTGCAGCTAAGGCCCTGCAGAAACTGATAAAAATATCTCCAATGGGGCACTTATGAGGGGTCCAACAGGGAGTTCAAAGGGATGACTCCTCCCTGCTTGGTAGCTCAGTGGGACCGCACTGGGAAGCAAGATGTTCTTGTCTTCTCTAACCTCCCTGCACTTACACAAGGCGAGTGGAATGCAGCCTGTCCACAAGCCACACTCATGTAGTTCTCTGCATGGCCCCCAGGCAGACACGTCTACCTCTCTGCCCGAATCGATGGCAGCCTGGTCATCAGACCATACACTCCTGTCACCAGTGATGAGGACCAAGGCTACGTGGATCTTGTCATCAAGGTAGGGGATAGGAAGGAACCCCAGGAGCTCCCTATTCTACTCTTTCTGGGAAACGTGCAGGTTTTGCTGGATAGAAGGAGGTGCATGTTATGTGTGGATGTGCCGAGTGCACATGTACCCTTCAGAGGCTCAGTCAGCAGGGCTCAGAACTCAGTGACTGTCCAAATAACATATTTTCTATTCTGTCTTATCAGGTCTACCTGAAGGGTGTGCACCCCAAATTTCCTGAGGGAGGGAAGATGTCTCAGTACCTGAACAGCCTGAAGATCGGGGATGTGGTAGAATTCCGAGGGCCAAGTGGACTGCTTACTTACATGGGGAAAGGTGATGGCCACAACCAGTCCCCCAGGCCCACCATCCTCTGGGCATACGCACCATGTCGATGGGCCAGAGCTGCCCTTCCTGCGCACAGAGCCATGATGTTCCTGCAAACATCAGCCCTGTTTGTCACTGGGACAGGTTCCCCATCCACTTGAATTCACCAGCCATAATAGCTGTGGGTGGTCAGGAAGCAGCCCCGCCTCATGGCTCACCCCTTAGGCTGAGCTGTGTGGAGAGCCAGAGAGCACTTTCAGCCCTTCCCCAGGGAGAGCGCTGGGCATGTTAGCCAGCTGCTGGAGCTGCTCTGTACACTTGGGAAAGCAGAGTCACACTGGCACCAGGCCTGCCACCCTCACTGGGGGGTGACCATCTGCCAGAGGCAGCTGCTGACTCACTCTGTGGCCCTAAATGGACTGGCAGCTAATACGGGACACATGGCCCAGGCCCCATTGTCCCTCATGTGAGCTATCGCTATCAGACCTGGCTCAACTCAGACATCCCCACAGGCTCCAGGGTCAGATTCCGTCACAACTGTTAAATTGGCCTGGGACGTGTCTTTGGTTCTACGTTTGTTTTCTTTGTTTCCTCTATTGATGCCACTTTCCCATCCCCTCTGTACTTCACTTCTTAGGGAATTTTAGCATTCAGCCTAACAAAAAGTCTCCACCGGAGTCCCGAGTGGCGAAGAGACTGGGCATGATCGCCGGCGGGACAGGTGTGTGTCGCCTGGGAGTCCTTCTCTCCCACCGTTGCTGATGTTGCCATGAAAACTTCCCAGTGATCCCTGGAAGGTCTAGGAATCATAGCCAAGCTGTTTATTGGGATTCCTAGCATTGCCCAGGGCTCCCCAGTACCTGAAAACAAAATTGTGATTAGGTAGAAACCAAAAAAAAAAAAATTCCTGACTGATAGAATGAGAAATCACGTGCGTTCTCCCAAGACCCACATGGAATGGGTCTTGTGATTTTTAAGTGAAAATAGGGAAAGACCTAGAAATAGGATAGTCGAAGAGAAAGAAAATGCATAGTGGACATTTCTATTAGGTACTATGCTAGTCTCTTTACGTCTGTGTCTGTGAAGTGGATGCTTGCCTTCTCCTTCTGTAGAAAATGTAAGTTCAGAGGGGTTAGGTGGTCACAGGGTTTCCATCCCACTCTACCCGAGTCGTGCACACCTGAAGCACTTGCACTTAACCCGCAAGCCCAGTGTTCCAGGGCTCTCACGCCAAATCAGCACCCGTGGCACCTGAGTCCTAATCAACAAGGGACGTTCAGAGGAAGAGTCTTAGAAGAATTTCAACAGTGTGAACTCATACAATTCTCCTACCAGATATGAATTTCATGAGTTTGGGGTAAGAGGCATACCTGCCCAGAAATGTGGGTGTTGGACAACACACAGGAGATTGGAGGGTTTAGACACTGGATGAAAGTGGGGTGCAGGGCTGAATGGGCAGCATTCAGATGGAAGCATTGGTCAACTGAGGGGCTGGGACAGGTGGGTTGCGGCTGCCACGTCTCACTGTGGGGTGTCTCCATGCAGGAATTACCCCGATGTTCCAGCTGATCCGGGCCATCTTGAAAGACCCTGAAGATCCAACCCAGTGCTGTTTGCTATTTGCCAACCAGGTTGGTTTTTTTTTCCTTAATCCTGGGACTTCATAGTGGCATAGGTGGGCTCAGCAATGTGGCACCGATGGACAGAGGTGGGCTGGTGCCTGTGCTGGCCTCTGCCTAGGGTATCCCCTGTAGGTAGAGGACCACTGTTTCAATAAGCAGACTGAGCCGTGAGCCATGTTTCTTCCCTGGCCCACAAGGAAAGAAGAAAACATCTTGGGAATCTAGTCCCGAGCATAAAAACTTACACCTTGACTTTCCTTTGTTAAATACTCCATCTTTATTTCTTCACGTTGTGTAAATAAAGGCTGTTCTCTCTTTCCCCTTACGCTAACGACCTAAAAGTTGTGCTTCCTGCCTAGAACTTCAGCATTCTTTTTCTCTTCTGACTGGACAGCATTGTGTGGGCCTGAGAAGGTGCCTAAAGATTTTGCTTCCCCTTTTCACTTCAGACTGAAAAGGACATAATCTTACGGGAGGATTTGGAGGAGCTGCAGGCCCGACATCCCAGTCGCTTTAAGCTCTGGTTCACCCTGGATCATCCCCCAGAAGGTACCCTCCCAGTTCTGCATATCGCAAAATCAGGGCCTTGCCCCCTGGGTTCTTGTTCCAGTGGAGCCAACCCTCCTCGACATAGCCAAAGTCCTAAGTTTGGCTGCAGGGGTGCAGTGCCCTCCCGGCCCTTCCGTTCGGGTTCCTGTTCACTGGGCGGGCGGCAGGAACACCTGTGCTGCTGAGGGGGGCTGAGTGTAGCCATCCTGCTCAACACCTCAAGAGCCTTTCTGGCTGTGCAGGCCTTGCCAGCATGGGTCTGGAGTGTCAGTTTTGTCCCTGTACTTCAGGTTGGACCTACAGCAAGGGCTTTGTGACAGCGGACATGATCCAGGAGCACCTGCCCGCCCCGGGGGACGATGTGCTGCTGTTGCTCTGTGGGCCTCCGCCAATGGTGCAGTTGGCCTGCCACCCCAACCTGGACAAACTGGGCTACTCGCAGAAGATGCGGTTCACCTACTGAGCGTCCCCTTGCTTCCCATTCCCTGCAGTTGTCCTGGTCAGTACTCGAATGCTGTAAGCCTTAGGTTTCTTTCCCCACAGGACCAGCCTTTTGTCTTTCTCTGGAGCTGATTTCTGAACGGCACCTGCAGAGACAGCATCCTTGTAACCCTGGGAGAGGTCAAGGCTGAGCATTCCCTGGGAGGCCCCCCCCCCAGATCTCCGTGATACAAGGTCCAGCTCAAGCCACAGGACAGTCTCTTCCATGGGTCAGAAAGGAGGTGGCTAGTTCCAACACTGGCTAGTTCCTGGATGGCATCACCCTCTTCTTTGTGTCTGGGGTGGAAGGAACAGTCTGCGATGGGTTTTCTTACTACTCGGTGCTTACCTCACAGCAGGTTGTGTGTGCGAGTGCAAGTTGAGCAGACTTCTAGAGCTAGTCTTACACAGATTGCAGGGGAGGAGGAAGTGGCTTTTTCAGACTGCAGACCTCGAGAGAAGAATCTGAAATATGCATTTGTGTGTCTCTCTCTATCTGGCCCAGGCTGGAGGGAAGTGTCTGTCCGCAGTCTGAGACTTCTGCTTATGGCAGGAACCTCTGGCTATGCAAATAAACGGGGCGAAGGCCCCAGTGTGACACCTAAAGGACTGCTGTGTCTGGGATCCTTGTTTCCAAGGCTTTTTGTGCCTGGAAATTCTGGGAGGAAGGGTTTCCCAGCACAGATTTTTTTCCAGGTCTTCCAAAGAACCTTTGAACAGTTACACCTTGGGCTGAACTGTGAGCAGCCCCCAAATGTAATGATCATCTTAGCAGCTGTCTCAGCAGAAGCTCAACTTTTCCCTGGAGGCTTTTCGGGTGGGGGAAACAGTACAGGTCAGAGGGGATGCTCTTTGAGTCCAGGTACTCCTCAAGGGGTCCTTTGGTTTGGCTACTCTTCCTTCTGCCTTCTCTTGACCCTTCCTTCGCCATATTCAATCCCTCAGGGTACCTGGCAAACAACTCAAAATACTGTCTTTCTGTTTGGGAGAGAAGCCTCTTCCTTTAAAAAGTAACCTGACATCACCAGCCCTGCTGGTGCCTGGACAGAGCTGGCCTTCCTGGCCCACAGATCCTGACCGCCCTTCTCCCGTGCTCTGACAGCACCACCCGGTCCACTCCCTTCTTCTAGAGCTGGGCCAGGGCAGCTTCTTGAATCTTTGTTAGTCCCACTGGGACAGAACAGTGTATCACTCTCAGGAGGAAGGTCAACATTGTTTTTCTGCATGTCAGTATGTATTGCTTTCTGTGGGGCCCCTAAAAGAAAGGCTCTGGGACCCCAAGAATTCACCCCTCCGCAAGGCAGAATCATTAATTAGTAAATTCTGTTACTGGGATTCTGTGGGCCACTTCTTCATCCCCTGGTACATACATACCAAAGCTGTGTAGTGGGAGACCCTTGGCTTCCTCACCTCCAGAAAGGGAAACCGGGCCTGGGGGATCGGGCTCCGACAGTAAAGCCACCTGGCAGAGAGAAGCTCTTGCACACAAGCTCGAGATCCCTTGTTTGCATAGGTTTCTGCCTCCTCCACTCAGCACACAAACAGGTCAAGGACCATCAGGTGCTAAGCACTGTGTTCAGCTCAAGACGTGATTAGACCCCCCAGAGAGCTCATAGTCTGGAGTAAGGTAGACACGTGATAGCTAATTCCAGTGTGATTAATACGATAGTAATGCCACAAGATATAGATGGGGTGAAGATGCAGAGGTGGGGGAAGAAAATGTCACTGAGTTAGCAGCCATGCACCAGGCACTGTGCCAAAGCCTCAAAAATTTAATCCTTGTGATAATCCTGAGTCTGTAAGGATTTGCCAAAGGTCATACGGCTAGTCCCGCTGGAGAAAACAAAGTCAGCTCTGTGGTCAGCGAAGGTTCCTGACGGTTTTATACAGCGGGCAGCACATGATAGCTAACATTTATGAAGCATCTGGCTTCATATTAAGAGCCTGCCTGAACTACCTCAACCCAGCTTAGTAGCACTTTCTCTCCAAGTTTTAAAAGACAGTCATTTGGAGGGAGGGGTGCAGTAAGTGCTCGAGATCATAGGGTGACTCCAGACCTCACGTGTGTGACCAGCACTGAGAGAATTAACCCCACTACCTCGAGGCGTCTCTGCATCTAGAATAACAAAAGCTACGTACCACCACCAGAGGACCGAGAAAGAGGTCCCTCCAATCACTTCTCACTACCTGTTCCCCGGACGTGCGCTCGGGCCGTAGTGTGGGAGCAAGGGCTGCAGCTGGGAGTTCTCTAGCAAGACTAAGTAGAAGCAGTTTCGTCGTTTAAGACAAGAAATAACGGAAGGCGAACCGAGGGCTAGCCCAGTACCTCGCATGGGCGGGCTCAGTAAATATCTGTAGGCAGGGCCGAAGAGGGACGATGTCTTTGGAAGATTAAGCGGTTGGCGCTGGTTGGAGATGGGCTGCGGAAGAAAGGTCCGCGCAGAGGACAAGAGCTGCAGTGAGACTCGGTCGCCGGCCGCGGGCCCAGTCAAATTCTCCGACACGCCCCCGCCCCCACCAGCCCCGGGTTCGCGACTGTGGGTGTGGCCCGCACGCCGCCGTGCAGGTGGAGCTCGGAATTGGAGTCGGGGAGGGGCGTGCCTGCGATTGGCCGGTGTGAGGGGGCGGGAACTCCGGGAGCGGGTCGGGACGCGGAGGTGACGTAGTGTGTCGGCGCCCCTTCCGGCGCGGAGAGCGTCAATATCGGGGCCGCTGGCCGCAGGCCGCCTACCGTGCTGCGGGATGTAGCGGTGGGCCTGCGGCCCCCAGTCGAGCCTGTCACCCGGTGGTAAGTATCCGGGGCTCTTGCGGCGAGTGAGTGGGTGTGGATCGGTGGAGCGCCGGGATCTGGGGCGCCTCGGCCCAGTCCTGCGGCAGGGACGTGCGGAGGGTCCGAGACCTCGCCCCCCCCCCCATGTGGAGCGGGCCGCGTTGTAAACATTTCGGCCCCTCCCACTGCGCGCCGCCTCCGCCTCCGAGGAGACCTCAAATGCCATTTAAGGGCGGATGGGCTACGAGTCCCCCAGCTTCCCTCAGCTGCCAGTGGTCCCGGTGAGTGCATGTCTCCCCAGCCCCGCGGGGGATGAGAGGTCTGGATTCAGGCTCTGGCCCGACAACGGCCAAGCCCAGAGCTAAGCGTGGCCGCCGCGCGAGGCAAGTAGGGAGCGGGGGTTGGGCGGGGATCGCGGGCCAGGGTCTCAGGGCCGCCTGCCCCGCCTGGGAACTCCAGCCTTTGGTGGCCTGGGAGCTCCAGGGTTCCTCGGTCAAGATGGTGCCCACACCTTGATGTTGGAAAAGGGAAGCTCAGTGGACGGCTTACCTTTATTTAAGTTAATCCTTAACGCTGAAACATGAGCAAAATCTAAACTACTTTGAGGAAAACGAAATTTCATTCCTTGGAAATCTCACACTGATGTATGTCATCTTATGTTTGAGACGGATGCGTGCTTTCTCTCAGTTTCTCCTGCCTCATAGGCGGTGGGAAACGGACGAGGCACGTTTCAGTTCCTACAGGATCAGGTGTGGGAGCAGCAGTAGGAGGCCGACACCGCACTTGACTGGACTAACCATAGTATTTCTCCCAGTAGAGAGAAGACATACTAGAAAGCAGCAGGGACTTAGCCTGCCACCTTAAGTCAAGTGAGCGCTGAAACGCAATGGTGGGGTCAGTTCACTGCCTTGCTCTCTTGGTTGGGGTTGAATCATCTGTGACGGAGCAGCTGTTGTTCCCCGTGTTTTCAGAGCGTCCGCCCAGAAGGAGGAATGCAGGCTGGGTGTGCTAAACAGATGGCAGTGTCAGATACCAGTTGGCCGCGGCAGCCACTCAGTTTCTTTATCCCGGGAGTAGCTTCTGTCCCCGTGTACTGGTTGGTACTTGGGAAATCTGTCCTCAAAGCCCGTGTGCTGTCTGTGAAGGTCCATCTTGGAGTGCCTCCACTGTACCTAGTTGCAGAGTAAAATCTGAAAGCATTTTGTTCTCTGTAGCTAAGAGATTGTATGATTCCCGAGGATTGAAAACATTCATCAACCATTTCGCCTGCGTAGGAAAGACTTAGGTGAGACTTAGGTATCAGAACGCAGCACTAACGCATTGCTAATGGATGACATGCACCACCCTCGATGCACTTCGGCTTTCAGGCCGTCTTCAGTTTCTGCACTCCTGCCTCATTTCACCTGCCCAGGAATCCTTTGTGAAAGAGGAAAAAAGGAAAAGGAAAAGAAAAAAAGTGTAGTTTGTTGTCTTCTGTCGGAAATTATTCTGTCCCATCTACTTGTGATCACGCTGGTGAACTAAACAGTCATTTGTAAACCCAGAGGCTTGATTAAGTACCGTGGGTTTTTTTCTGGTGCTGATCCTCATTAAAGTCATTGTTACATTTTGTCTTTAACATCCATTGGTCCCTAATGCCGACCCCTACCCCAGACTTGGCGCCTCTCATTAGGCTTCAAAGTGGATTCTAGTTTTGTTCTCAGAAGTGTGGGGGCGTGATGATTGTTTCTAAAATCTAGTTAACTCCAATCAAAAGGTCCCTGAGTGTGCCCTCTGGACAAACCACTTCTGAGTGATTGGCTGCTGGGCATGCACCTGTTTGCTGTGTTTCATAGGTGCTTCTGGGACACAGGTATGAAGCGATCACCGTGTTCTGTGACTAGTGACCATATAGCTCCATGTTCTACTTGACAGCCAGGTATTAAAAACAGGGACTGGCATGAAACTCCTTCGTGTTTCTGTATACCATTTACTTTTTTTTTTTTTTTAATGGAATTTGAGAAGCTTACCTGTCTGGAATCAGAAAGACTTCTGGTGGGTTCTGGTGGGACTGCTTTAACTAGAAAAGAGCTACAAAGGATATTACCTTCTGATTTTCCACTTCAGACTCTTAAGTCAGTGACTTAGTATCAAGCAGCCAAGCTGAGGCCCTGTTGCTGCAGTTTGGTAACTTTCAAACATAGGCCTTGGCCAGACTCACTTGTGTCAGCAGGGCTAAGGACCTGCGGTCTCTAAGAGAAGCTGCGTGGAGGAGGAAGTAGCTGTGGTCTGTCCTCACTGCTAGGCCGGGCTTTGCTTTAACACAGTGAGTCAGGTAGACGAAGATAGAGCCTGCCCACGGACTCTCCAAGGGCCCGGGGCCCCAGATGGAAAACTTCTAGAAGCTCTGTTGTACCTGGACTTCAGGGAAGGAGTGTGCTGTAGCCTCGAAAACTTGGGAACTGGTTCAAAGAATAAATGTCTCAAAAAACTGAGGGAAATAAACTCTCCAGCTAGCTGGCTGGTGATCAGTGCTTGCCTGGTTTGGCCCAGGATTGTCTTACTTACAGGAGCACAAACACCTCCCTGCCCCACAGTTCTATTCTCTAAAGTAGGTTTATCCAGTTAGAAAGCTTAGTGGTAAACACTTAATAGCTACAATTGGAGAAATCCCATCAAAAATGCACTCTGAGGAGTTTGGCCCAATTTTAATTTGCCCTTTTCAGTGTGGTGAGTTTGAAGGAGAACGTGTTTGCTCTGAAATACGTAAGGTGAAGTGTATTTGGCTCTCCTGAGTGTGCCCGGAATCAGTGTTAGGGGTGTGTGCTGATTTTATGTCATGAACACTAAAACACTTGTAAAAATTCTCGGTGTTCGTGAGTGGCCTGCCCTGCGAGGAATTGTGTTTTCAAGTCCTAGCAGAGCTTGCTCTTCCTTCTTGCCTCTGACCCCGCTCCGCCTTCCCTGTTTCTGTGAGGACCAAAGTACGCGATGGACTTTGCTCAGTATGACGACTTGACTTGTGTGGTGCGGTGCAGCTGACGGCTGGTTTGTGCGTTAACTAGGGTGCTAGGTTTGGTGACTCTGAGTCTAGGACACAGTGCTGGGGAAGGGGCGTGGGAGCCAGTGATAGGGAAGCTGGAGGGAATCAGAAGAATCAGAAAGTGATTTGGATGGAAAGAGAGGAGACTTTGACCATGGCCAAGAGGCCAAGGTCACCCTAAGTGGATGCTTGGCTTTAGGGTACAGAAGCTTTTCGGGCCAAGGAACACCACCAAGGTGGGACCTGCATCTGTCTCTAACTGCCCAACCTAAAGTCTGTCTGCAGGACTCTCCTTGCCTCTGGTGGAGCAGTTACACAGCACCCAAGATGCCCGAACCCAGTGGGCGGCCGTTCTAGTTCAGGGCCCTCCCCTTCCACTGCCGTCCTGGAGCAGCGAGGGTACCTCGGCCTTTGTACATGCCACACGTTAACTGTCTGAGGGGTCGCCAGAGACAGCGACTTCATGGGCTCCTTGTTGCGTCTGGCACAGGCCTTCACCTGCCGCGGGGTGGGCGCCAAGCACACGCGTTAGGTGTTATGGGGAAGTCCCACGAGCACAAGAAAGTGCGCGGCCCTCAGCAAGGAACAACAAGGTAACAAGGGATGTTCTTGTTGGCTGGAGTGCCACTCCACTCATTCATTTTGAAATGTGTGCTCAGACCAGAATCCAGGGTGTACATCAGTTTGTTGCCTCTGTGGTGTTTGGTCCCACACCCTGAACCTCTGAAGCACTGGTCTCTGTATTCTAAGCTAAAGTGTTTCTCTGTTTTGACTTACTTCTCCAAATGCCCAGAGTTGTTTACGTTTTTCTCCAGTGTAATCATCTCTTAGCAAAGCCGTTGATCCAGCAGCACTTCCTCTGAGGAGGCGTGTCCTGTGGTCAGCCTGTTGAACGGGACTGCCCAGCCCCTCTCTCGGGGACTGCCTCTCTCTTGAGGCTTTTAGGCGCCTCCAGTCTCCTGGTCTCAGTAGTCAGCCGAGCGCCCCAGTCTCGTCCGTCTGGCCTGTCTGGCCCAGTCTGGCCCAGTCGACACTATGCAGAGGCAGCTGCAGAGCGGGCTGTCGTTTGCTGTCTTGAACTGTATCTGCCTGTTGCGTTTAGGTCTGCTTGTGAGTGGAGCACAGCCTGACTTCTGAACCTTGAGGGTTGCCCTTATCTGCTACGTAAGCCCAGTTATAATCCCTGAGAAGAAAGTGGGGTAACTCTCAGATTTTAAAAAAGAGAAGCTGGTAGAAGATGCCCAAGATGTTTGCAAAGATGTTGTGTAGAGAACAGCTGTGGGAGGTGCATCCCTGGGGCGCAGGGTCAGCTCGTGCCCCTAACAAAGGCCGGGGCCCCCTGAGCTGCAGCCTCTGCCGCTCCCTGCGGGTGCAGGTGTCCCCGGCCCTCCACATTGCTCTGCGGCCGAGGGGACTCAGGTGACCAGTGCAAGGAAATGCTAATATTCTGGCTACTGCTGTTGCTATGAGTAATAAACTTCTTTATTTCTGGGAGGAAAAAAAAAACTGATTTGCAAGACTGGAAAGCTTGGAGAACTTTTCAGTATTACTTTCATCTCCCTGAGGCCTGATTAAGACACCACCTGATATTCAATGCAGGGCAAACCTGGAAATTTTAGACTTTTCCTAGAAGACCCAGTTCTGGGTTTCTCCGATTCTCCTAGAGGATCTGTGTGCCTGTCTCCGGTTTCCAGAAAACTAGTTTCAGTGGCGCTTAGTGCAGCAGCTGGCCAGGCCCTTGCTGAGCTGGTTGTTTGGTGTGTGTGTGTGTGGCAAAGGGCGGGGCTGCCCCCCTGTGTGCAGCTTCCTGCTTCCAGGTAAGTTACTGGTTACGGAGACTGTGAGGAAGCTTGTTCTCCAGGTGCTGGACCCGGGCTCTAACCCTACAGCAGAATTAGTAGGCCTTGCAAAGAGGTGGCCACTGGGCCTCCCGCCCACGATGGGCTGCTCTGCTTGCGGGGCACGCTTGTCAGCGCTTGTGGGTAAACCCAGCTAAGTTCAACCAACCAGCATGTGCTCCCTTTATAAGCATGAGAGGTCTGGTAGTACCAGTTGGCTGTTGATTCACATACTTCTGCCCCACAACCTTAAAGTCAGACCTTTCTTGGACAGAACAGCTTTGGGAATGATGGGATGTTTCTTCATAGTAAACGGGCTCCATGCCCATGGGAGGGGGTTGAGGTGGAAAGTTGTTTTTCTGTGGTGACAGTTTGGTATGAAAACCACAGGTGCTTTGAGGGCAAGCAGCCAGGCATTATGTTTTGAGGCTGATCTGCTAGGTTAGTGGGTTCTGAGTAAGGGTGGTATTAGAAAGGGAGAAGCAGGGGTAGGTTCCATTGTAGCAATCAGTCAGCCTTTAGAGCTGGAGACAGGGCATGAGTTGATTGGCTAGTGTCTCACGCAGGTGTGACTGGGGGAGATGGAGCCGTAGGAGGAATAGTTGTCATCCCGCTTTGTGTTTGTGTTTGCTTTTAGTGTCCACCGTCACAGGGAGACCTCAGCCTCCCCGGGGCCGAGACACCCAGCCTTTCCCCAGGCTGAAGCTGCGGGGTATTGAGGGACCAGCTAGATGTCTTCTCACAAAGGACCTGGGGGGGCCCAGGGCAGCGGGGCTCCTGCCAGCACCAGGGAAACGGACACGGTGGAGCTGGCAGAACTGGGACCTCTGCTAGAAGAGAAGGGCAAACGGGGAATCGCCAACCCCACCAAAGTAAGTCGTCTCCCCAGGAGCCACTCCCTCATCAGCATCCCTGCATCTCTGTTGTCCAGGGTTTTTGGGCCCCCCCACCCCCGCAGGAGGGGTCAGAGTGCCCCGGGCGGCCTCATCACAGCCTCCTCAAGCTGCACGATAAGCACCTTCTTGCCTGTGGGTCTCTTTTTCCCACTGTCATCTTTGAGACCCCAGTGCTTACCACAAGGCCTGAAATCCCACAAGCAATCAGCAAACATCTGAATGAGTGAAGGATGCAGTTAGGATGTGGTTCAGCTTCAGGTAACAAACAGAAATCTCTGTGGCCTGCCAAGACGGGAGTCTCTGCCATGAAAGAATTCTACATGGAACCAGGCCAAGGCCATGCCACTATCATGCGCCTGTCCTGCTCCTCCTTCACTCACAATGTTGCTCATCACGCCCACGTACCGGCCACCACGATGGAGGAAGGGGAAGTGCCTCGTGGCACTGTCATTTCCGTCCATGGCCGTCCCTGGGGCGAGGACTTGTTCCCACTCACGTTGAGCTGCAGCGGAGGCTGCGCAGCCTTTGCTTTGGGTCCGAGGCACATTACCACCCTGACCAACACCAAGGACTTTGTCACTGAGGACGAGAGAGTGCGGCTCTTGGGGTAGGCAAGCAGGAGTGTGTGCCATGGAGTCAGAGAGGGGACCACGTTTGCCACTGGGGAGTGTCAACAGGAAAGAGAAGACAGCTCAGGGGAGGAGCTGAAGTGCGGGGCCGTCCTCTGCGGTTCAGAGTCTTGGGATGGAGGGAGTCCCCGCAGTGGGCAAGTGCCCCCCCCCCAGTGCACCGTGTCCAGGCTTTTTCCTGTGGGAGCAGAGCTGCTGGGCTACAAGGTGTCACTCACCTGGGCAGGCCCAGAGGCCGCAGGTTTCTGAAATGGATGTGACTGGGAGGTCAGGGGAAGTTGAGAACCACTGTTGCGGGGACGGTGACAGGGAGGGCATTCAGACTGTGAGAGCTTTGGGGGCTGCTGTGCTACCCCTGTGTCCCCCCAGCTGCGGCCAGCCTCCCACAGCCCATCCCCGTGTGCTGAGTCAAGCTCTCCCTGCGACACACACACAGTGTCAATGACCCCGGACAAGTGTGGGCGCTGCCTGCCTGTCGTGCTCTTAGAGGAGAGGCCCCGGGCCCCGTGGCAGCAGAGAGGCACAAGGCACTGAGCCCGGTTTCCCTGGATGCATCTGGTCTGAGATGGTGCTGACCGCTAGGTTGTTTGTGCTTGTTTCTGGGTGCAGGCTGAGGAAGAGCAAGCATGCCCTGCGCCCCAAGAGGAGGAGGAGGAGGTGCGGGTCCTGACCCTCCCCCTGCAGGCCCACCATGCAATGGAGAAGATGGAGGAGTTTGTGTACAAGGTACAGCCTGCCAGTTTCTGCCCTGGCGGGGTAGGCGGGACGGCGGCCTGGCTGGGGGTCCCAGTTGGCAGGCCTGTGTTGGGTTGAAGACCTTTAACTGTGCGTAGAGTTGGTTTTTCTTAAAATGAAGTAAATCCAGGGAAAGGCTGGCAGATTTTTCCTGCCGGGTGTGTTAGTCATTGTTCAGAATACGTGGATCCCTTTGATGGTCATCACAGTCTTCAAATGTGGTGTAGTCACATGGGCTCCTTACTGGGCTTGTGGAATGTGTGTCGGTGACAGGATGCAACTTGTTTAGTAAAATGTATAAGCTAAGTGGTGATGAATAGAAAGAGTATTCTAGTATCTGCCAAACCAGTGGGCGAGCTCCTCGGTGACCTCCTTTGGTGACGGTCACAGCTCCGACCCTGCTGTGGGGGCGTCAGCTGCCTGCGCCGGAAACACCGCAGACCCGCGGGCCAGCGCAGCCCCACCCACGGTGCTCGGGGCGACTGTTGCAGGTCTGGGAGGGCCGCTGGAGGGTCATCCCGTACGACGTGCTCCCCGACTGGCTGAAGGACAACGACTACCTGCTGCACGGCCACAGGCCGCCCATGCCCTCCTTCCGGGCCTGCTTCCGCAGCATATTCCGCATCCACACGGAGACCGGCAACATCTGGACCCATCTGCTCGGTGAGTGATCTGGGGCGGAGAGGAGGTGCTTTCTTTTCCTCCTGAAGTGCCACTGGAAGGAAGAGGAACCAGGTGGTTCTGATTGAAAGCTGGCATTGTACCTCAAAATTGCCAGTGAGCTTGGTTGGCTCGTGGTCATTGACCGTGAAGGTGACCGCGGGAGGGGACTGGAAACAGGAGAAGAAAGTGGAACTGGCTGTTCTCGTGATCCCCGGAGGAACTGCCCGGCGTGGACACGTCCCTTCCCTTTCGTGAATTCCCATGGTCACAGCTAAATGCCAGTGGTTTGTTTTTTTAAGATTTTGTTTGCTTATGAGAAAGGGGAGGAGAAGGGGAGAAAACTCTGGGTGTGGTTGCTTTTCACGCGTCCCCTACTGGGGACCCAGCCTGCAACCCAGGCCTGTGGCCTGACTGGGAATCGAACTCCAGCAACCCTTTGGTTCACAGGCCAGCACTCAGTCCACTGAGCCCCACCAGCCAGAACAGCAGTGTGTTTTACAGTGACCTTTCTGTCTGGGTTTGTGTGACTGGTGCCACTTTCTTCGGAACCTCTGGGCTGCAGTTCTCACAGTTAAACCTGTCATTTTAGTCCTGATTTAACACCATCACCTTTCGAAATACACATGTCCCCTTCTTCCTCCTGCAGGTTTCGTGCTGTTTCTCTTTCTGGGGATCTTGACCATGCTCAGGCCAAACATGTACTTCATGGCCCCCCTGCAGGAGAAGGTGGTCTTCGGGATGTTCTTCTTGGGTGCCGTGCTCTGCCTCAGCTTCTCCTGGCTCTTCCACACCGTCTACTGTCACTCAGAGAAAGTCTCCCGGACTTTTTCCAAGTGAGTGAGAGGCCCTTCGTCAATGGGGACAAGTGCCAGCCTCGTGGTCTCGTACTGTGATCCAAGTGCCAACTGGGTCCTGGGACCCCAGGGACCCTGCAGACACCCTGCTGTGCCAGAGCACAGGCCTTCTGCGCTGCGGTGTGGTCGTGTGAGAAGGCCCTTCTCTTAAGTCCTTTGTGAAACGGCCCGCACAGCCTCCCCCACAGCTGCAGCCCAGCTGTGGGATACATCTCCCACCTGCACGGCACTACCTTTGTAAAACGTGGGTGCAGTGGGTTGCTCTCTGAGGCCAAGTGACGGAGCTAGGCAGGGCGTGGTGGCCTGGTCTGTGTTGTGTTCTGCTGAGCTCCTGCCTGAAGCTGAGGAGCTTATCTTTGCTGCCCATGCGCTGGTGGAAGCCCCAGATGTCCGCCATCTGGTGCCTCCCACAGTCCCGGGGTCCTCATCCGCCTGTGTTCATTGTTGGTGTTGAAGGCAGTGGTGTTGCTGTGTTCATCACTTAACAGTCAACTGAAACAGAACAGTGCCCCTTCAGACTACTCCCAGTGTAAGGGTGTTGCCTTCAGAACTCAGCCTGTCAGTGCCGGGGACCCTCAGAGCCCTTCCTGAACGGGAGCTGGGATCCAGCTGGGTTAGGCCGCAGCTCCTGAGTGGAAGGGCCCACTGGGGGGCGTGGCTTTTCCCAACTGAGGGACAGACAAGGCTCTGTGATCGGGACTTTTAGAAACTTTGCCACTGCAAGGAGAAGTACTTGACCTTGTGGGGCTTGGATCGAGGCTATAGACGAGATGAGGGTGGTCAGATGTGGGTGCAGGTGAAAACAGAAAGGACCTCTTCGTTCCTCCCGCTGACACGTTTCAATTTTTGCGCTCTTTTCCAGACTGGATTATTCAGGGATCGCTCTACTGATCATGGGGAGCTTTGTCCCCTGGCTCTATTACTCCTTCTACTGCTCCCCACAGCCACGGCTCATCTACCTCTCCATCGTCTGTGTCCTGGGCATTTCCGCCATCATTGTGGCCCAGTGGGACCGATTTGCCACTCCTAAACACCGGCAGACAAGAGCAGGTGGGTAGGACGACCAGGTAAGCCTCACAGGTGTATGGATCTTGACCCTAACAGGCTCGAGTTTGGGCCCTGAAGTTTGCAGTTTGAGGACCCCACTCAAGCCCTGGTTCTGTCTGCAACTCTCAGAGCAGTGTGGAGTTTTGAAGTGCATTGTCCCCTCAGTTTTTATACTGATTTAATAGCATGCCCGTGGGACATGTGATGACCAAGGCTGTCAGCGAGCCGCTGTCATCTTCGGTTCGAGAGTGTTGCAAGACACACACAGCACAGTCTTCTCAGTGGCTCGAGTCCTAGGCACTCAGGCCAGGGTTGGACTGGAGCCACCTGAGCTGGTTCCTGAAGGACCTGGAGGCTTAGTGTGAGCTTGGACACTCGTCACCACTAGTGCCAAAGCTACAGCACAGGCATCTTTGGGCTGTCTCATCCAGACCCTTGTTTTAAGCTTTATAACTTGCAGCAGCACACCAGTGACCTGTTCGGATTGCTCAGGACCTGGTGTGTTGATAACTTTCGGTAAAGGAATGAAATACGCACTGAGCATCACCCCCTCGCCAAGCGTGGTGCGGCTGCCAGGGTGTCTGCACAGGCAGAGGCGGGGTCCCTGCCATCCCGTATGTGCAGTGCGGTGGTGGGAAGACAGGCGTCTGTTCGTCCCTCCTCTGATTTGTCTGCTCCCACAGCCTCAACAGCTCCTACCCTGTTGTCTCTCCCTGCTGGGTGGGTCAGAGTCTCCGGTTATGGGTCTTTATGTTCTTCTCAGGAAACCTGTCCACTCCCCTCTTCCTTGAAGCCACCCGAAGCTCTGCCGTCTATTCCCGAGTCAGCCATCAGACGGTTTGGGCCTGTCCTTTTTGCCCAGGCTTCTCAGCAAACGAGACTGGGAGGCACTGGCTCTGGTGCTGCTTAGAGGGTAGTGTCCGTGTGAGCCCTTTCTCAGCGCCCTTCCCGTCCTGGATGTTGGAGCGATTCTGCGGACTGTTCTCCATTGTGGGGCCACACTTCCTGAGCAGATGCAGGCGTGCACGTCTGCATGCCAGAGTGGGGCACTAGTGTGTCGTGCTCCGCTTGGCAGCCGCGTCCCTGCTTCTCACAGCCCTGTGTCTGCTCTGTTAGGGGTGTTCCTGGGCCTTGGCTTGAGCGGCGTCGTGCCCACCATGCACTTCACAATTGCCGAGGGCTTCGTCAAGGCCACCACCGTGGGCCAGATGGGCTGGTTCTTCCTCATGGCCGTGATGTACATCACCGGAGCCGGCCTCTACGCCGCTCGGATCCCCGAGCGCTTCTTTCCTGGGAAGTTCGACATCTGGGTAAGGGGCAGGCTGCTGGCGGCCCCCATGGTCAGGCGCCCAGTGCAGAGCCTGAGTCCAAGGCGATGAGAGCAGCGGGCCTGTGTGCTGTGCGGGGGGCAGGGGTGAGTGTGGGGGCAGCTGGCAGTGGTAACTGACAGGAACATTTTGGTGGGGTTTTGTCTTTTTTAAGACTGGAATTTTTTAAAATATTTTTTATTTATTTTTAGAGAGGGGAAAGGGAAGGAGAAAGATCTGGAGAGAAACATCAGTGTGGTTGCCTCTCATGTGTCCCCTACTGGGGACCTGGCCTGCAACCCAGGCGTGTGCCCTGACTGGGAATCGAACCGGCGACCCTTTTCTTCACAGGCTCCTGCTCAATCCACTTGGCCACACCAGCCAGGGCACATTTTGGTATATTTCTGATATGACTTTTAGAAAATTTTCCATAACAAAGGTAGCACTTTCACAGGAATGAAATTTCAAGGAGAAAGTGGACGAGGTGAGAGCTCCCCTCCTTGTTTCTGGTCCCTCCTGAGAGTTGCCTTTTGTCCCCACAGTTCCAGTCACATCAGATTTTCCACGTCCTGGTGGTGGCAGCGGCCTTCATCCACTTCTATGGGGTCTCCAACCTCCAGGAGTTCCGCTACGGCCTGGAGGGCGGCTGCACCGACGACTCCCTCCTCTGAGCCTCCCCCCCCCCGGGGCCAGAGAGGAACTTCCCAAGTGCTTTTAAAAATAACTTTCTCACTGAGGTGAGGCGTCCAAGAGTTGTCTGTTTCTAGAAGAAACCTCCTAGCGAATTCAGTGCCGGTCAGGCTTCAGCCCACCCCCTAGACCCCCTGCGGCGGGGGCCTCAACTTCCCGGGCCCCTCACTGAGGAAGGGGGTGTCTGCTGGGCCGGTCCCCTCGCACAGAGCACTGGAGCTCCTGTTGAGAGTTTGCCCTCCTCCAGCCACCTGGCGGAGAAGTAATGGACTGGGACTCTTGGGAAATCCTGTTTCAGGAAGACAACGTCCCCCTTACTCCGTCCTTACTTTGTAACCTGGCCCAGAACAGGCCACCTGTTTTGTAGCACACTTTTCAGAAACGATGGTGCGCTGGTCCCGTCTTTCTGGGGCCTAGACCGCTGACAGCAAGGACAGTCACCAGCTTGGGTACAGCCCGGCTGATCGTGGGAGTGTGTCCAGGCTTCAGATAGGTTGCGTTTTAATTTTTTTCTTGGCAGAGTAATGTAAAATTAAAATGGAGAAAGATATTTAATATTTAATACTAAGCTTTAAAAAGAAATCGCTATCATTGCTATGTATCTTGATGCAAAGACTATGATGATAATAAAAGGAAGTACAGAAGACAATTAGCATTCAAGATTGAACACATGTGATCCAAGCTATTTGTGTGTAACTCCAAAGGGTTAAAACTGGGAAAGTCATCTCAGGTTCTGCTGAGGCACAAATCAGAGTCACAGGCATTGGTAGGTTAGCATATGTGAGCCAAGGAAGGGGCCCCATTGAGTTTCTAGCATCAGCTCCTCCACACAACCCTATTTTCTCTGCCTAATACACAGAATTTTACTAGAGAAATTGCTATGCTAAAGTATTTAAGAATGACTAGATTTTCAATAGTGTTGGGACACATCCCTTCAAATATGAAGGGTCTGCTCCCTGTCACTCTAGGGTTCCGTTGTCTGAGGACGGCCTTGCTGAAGGGTGTCCCATCAGGAGGAGGTTATTCCCTGCTTTTCTGTGCCTTTGCTACTGTCCTTGGCCTGGGGTGACGGCCCCACCACCCCAGCAGGCGGTCTTTGTGAGTGACAAAGATGGGCTCCTTCCTGGTGGAGTTTGTACAGCTAGAGGACTAAATTATCCTTTAAGAAAACAATCTAGCTGGGCCAACAAGCAGGACAATTCTCAGCCTCAAGTGGAAGTCGGGGAAATGCAAATCAGAACTGAAGTGGTAAACCATTTCCCTACCAGCTCAGCACAGATCCGAGATCCTGAACGCTGTGCAGACGTGGAGCGGAGACCAGGAAAGATGGTGGTGGGGCCAGTTTGTGATGTGCGAGCCACACACACTTGGGGTGCACCTTCCAAGCACCTCATCAAACACCTCACAACGTGCATCGGAAATGCACTCTTAAGTTACTGCATTTTTACGAACCCCGGTTCTGACCCACTAGATTGTTTCAGAATTCATTCACGGCTCACAACCCACACTTGGAGCACCACTGCCCTTGAGGAACTTAGCTTGTGTCAGAAAGTCCATTGCAGCCAGAGGCAGTAGCAACACACTGTGCTCAAGCCCGTGTCCAGACTGTTGGATGGGAAAGTAACTCATGGCTTCGTATAACGAAACACTGTTAAGCAGTAAAAGTTAATGACAGTGACAAGCAATTTACAGGACATAATGGGTCTGGTTGCATTTATGTAAAGTTCAGAAATTTGCAAAACTAATGATAGCTAAAGGACACAAATATGGTAAGCATTTAAAAAGGTAACATTAATCCTAAAACATCAATATCAAAGCACCTATGCACCACAATGTTCATAGCAGCACAATTTACAATAGCCAAGAGTTGGAAGCAACCTAGGTGCCCATCAGTAAATGAGTGGATCAAAAAATTGTGGTACATATACACAATGGAATTCTATGCAGCAGAGAGAAAGGAGCTACTACCTTTGCAACAACATGGATGGAACTGGAAAGCATTATGCTGATGAAATAGGCCAGGTGTTGAAAGACAAATACCATATGATCTCACCTTTAACAGGAAGCTAAACAACAAAACAAACAAGCAGAAAAAAAAAACACACTGAAATAGAGAACAAGGGGACAGTGACCAGAGGGGAGAGGGAAGGGAAGTTAAGGGGAAAAAGGAGGGATTTGCAGGAACAAATAGGAAGGACACAGGGACGAGAACTAAGGGGGGTGGAAATGGGAGGGAGGTGGGGAGCAAGGGGCGGGGGAGGCTGGGATGGGAGAAATAGACAAAAAAACTGTACTTGAAAAATTACTAAATAAAATTTAAAAACAGAAAGAAAAAAAAAGGTAACATTAATCCTGAAAAAATGATTACCCCTGAAAGCAAGAGCAGGAGGCGAGGGACACGGGCATCTCAGAACTGTAGCTTACTTTCTTTCTGACCAAATGGCAGGGATCTGGGTGTTCCTTAAGCTGTGGTCATTTCTCTTGCATATATGTAATGAGTATATTTAATAAAAAACTATGTTAAGTTTAAAAAAAGACTTGAGCTGACAGCAGAAGCCACAATCGTTCATATGCGCTGTGTGGCCTGCAGTGGGCGGTTGGTGGCAGCTGTGTCCTTTGGGGAGGGTGTGCGCTCTGGTCACTATCTTCCCTGCCTAGCACTGCCGGCATCGCATTTGCGGACACTCAGTCCTGTCTGTTCCGACCCGTCCCTTTCCTACACCGGGAAGGCTCCACTCCCCGTGTCTGTGTTCAGACCCTCCTCCTCCTCCTCCGCAGCGGTCGGAGGAAACACGGAACTCCACAGCACGTGGTGAGGTCCTGCTAGGCAGTTCGGGAGAAGGAATAAAGGATGAGCTGGGGTGAAAGGATCAAAGCTGAGAATCTGAGTCTACCCCTTTCCTACCTAACATCTCTACCTAGAAAGCATCCGTTTCCAGTTAAAAAAAAATAGAACTTTGGGAACATTAATAAAACTCTTAAATTATGGCAAATGGGTAACATCCAAAGAAACTGTTGAACACTTAGCTCCTCAGGAAGCATGTGCCAAAATTAAATGTGTGAGATTTCAATTAGGGGAAATGTGTAAAAGAAAATAGGAAGTGGCCAGAGAAGGCTGGGAACCCTTTAGACTGCCTGGCTGGTTTTGAGATTCAGCTGGCCTGCACTCCAAGGACCAGCTAGAGTTTGGAGGCCAAGTCCTTTACTGGAACCGTTCAGTGGCTGTAAACAATCAGCCAGAACATGCTAGGACCTTACCCCTGAATACAACACAAGTGTGAACTGGTCCCCCTGCTGTGTCTGCCTTGCTGGCAGCTTCTCCAGCTTTTATTCCTGGAAGAGCCGTGGGCCACAGTCTAAACAAGGCCTCTTTTATTAAGCTCCTCACATTTGGAAAAATTTTTTGATTTGATTTCACATCCAAAAAACAATCATTTTCAAATTGTACGTATTTTACATACACGTAAAGTGAGGTTGCTGCCCCCCTCAGCCACGCTTTTATTACCCTAAGGCATCAAAGTCCCCACGGAGGAAAAGAACTTCATCCCCCGAGCCACTAAGATAACTGCACCCAAGTCGATGAGAAGCCACCTTCGCAGGGTGCGCGCCCGGCGCCGGGAGCAGCCAAGTGAGCACTCGCCGAAAGGGGCGCCGAAGGTCCAGGCGTCTACCTTGTAGGCACGGAGGGTCTGGCCGGTCCCCTTGTGATGCACGACGTGCTGAGGCTAGGGGCCCGGGGTCGGCGGGCTCCCACCCGGCCGTCCGCCAAAAGGCCACCCTGGGCCCTGTCTGGGGGAACGGGGAGCCGGTTCCCGAGCCCTCGGCGGGGAAGAAATCTCCATCCTCAGCTCCGCGGCTCGGGAACCCCCGGGGTCCTCCGTCCGAGGAACCACGCGCGAAGTCGGGTACCCACAGCCCGTCTTCCCCACCTCCACTTCGACTCAGCTGCAACCGGGACTCTAAGGCCTGTGGGTCAGGTGACGGTGTTTCGTCACGTGGTGAGGCCCGGCGGAAGGGGCGGCCCCGGCGCTAAACGTCATCACGTCGCGCGGCCGCAGCGCCGACGGGGCCGAGACGTGCACGGCGACGGCTCCGGAGTTCTGGGTCCAGGCGGCAGCGGCGGCGGCGGTGGCGGCGGCGCCTGGGCTCCCCCAGCCTAAGCCGCCTGGGCCGCGCCCCGCTCGACCCCAACCCCGCGGGCCGGTGCAGGTGAGCCGACGGGACGACGGCGGTCGGCGTGCTGTCCCCGTCCGCCGGTCGGACCCTGCCTCGCGTCGCCTCTCTGAAGAGACCCCGGAGGGGCTCTCAGCCCGCGGGCACCGAGTGTCGTCCGGGTCGTCCCCCTGTTTCCTCCCCTGGGTTGGAGCCGTTCCGGAAGCGGACCGGTGGTTTCGGAAGTTCTGGGAGGGGTGCTGCTGTCTTCGCCCGAGGAGGGTGCCGCCCAGTGCAGGCCGAGCCCGCGGGACCCCGGGAAGGCTCCACTCCCCGTGTCTGTGTTCAGACCCTCCTCCTCCTCCGCAGCGGCGCCCAAGTTGGTAAACATCGTCAACTTTGGTGAGTCACCCACCTCCTGTTCCTTAACGCGGATTCCCCTGGAGGGGGGTGGGGGTAATGAGAAGGCAGCCGCGAGGATTCGAGATGTCGTTACGGTTGTGACTTCTGGACGCTTATGATTGTTTTCTAGAATCATTTTAGAAAGTTTTGGGTTCTAAATAAGATATAGTCTCTTAATAACCACCTCATTTCATTCTTCAGAAATCGTGGAAGAAAAAAATAGTGTGACGAGAGCTTGTGAAAAATCGAGGAAATACTTGTGTTGATTTTTCTTAATACATAATCTCTCGCCAAGTTCATTTAACTGACGTGTACAAGTGAACTTTGCGAGTGACTGGCTATGGCAGAAAGTTAGTAGTTAGTTTTGATATGTTTCTGCCCTAATAAAGCTCTTCAGTGTAGGAGGGTTTCTACAAATACTGGTTTGCTGATGTTCGTCAGCTAATAATGTAGAGGAGGAAGACGGATCCAGTGAAAGCCCCTAGACAGGCTGGTGTCCAAGGACAGGTTGTGTCCCTTGGTGAGCCTGGGTGTATTTGGAAGTGTTGGTACCTGATTAATTCTCTGCCTGCTTCTTTAGAAAAAACGTTTATTTTCACTGACTCAGGCTTTGACTGCTCTAAGTTGAATGCACAGTTTCTCTTTTCTAATATTTGTTTCCTACACTTACTGTGCATCCACCGGGATAGAAAAGTATGCCAGCAGGCCCCCCCCCCCCCCCGTAAATACTGACCCATTTGACCTGCCGATAGCAGGTCCACGGTACTGGCACAGGCCGTGCAGCAGTGTCGTCATCACTGTTGGGTCATATCTAACAACGGCCTCCTGTGGTCTGCAGGACACAGGTGGTTCCCGTGCATCCAGGACAGCGAGCACCAGTGCCAGGGCACTGCTGGGACTCGGAGATGGGAGATCATCCTTGGGACAGTTAGTGGCCAGACAGTGGTGGTAATGCCAGGAATAGGATGCTCTCTACTCAGATTTTGGTTCTGAGGAGCTTCCTTAATTTGTAAAACTTGAAAATGATCCGTTTCTCCAGGCCTTCAAATGTGTACTGGCCAGTGTGGCTCAGTGAGTTGGGTGTCATCCCTCGAACTGAAGGGTGGCCGGTTC